AAAATAGCAAATGTTCATGCCTTGCATTGTGGCTACATAGACTACTGCCCCATGAATTACCCTCCACCCTCACTACTGGAGATTAAATCCAGGCTTTCACATTGAGCTACATCCCTAGCTCCTTTTATTTTGAAACAATAGCTTATTAAATTGCCCAGGTGGAAGAAATTCTTAGCAAACTAAGAACTTAGTACTTTTAAATCTTTATCTTTATCACCCCAATAAGCAAGGCAGAATGACATCTCTGCATGGCACATGATAGTAACAAACTTAAAATACATTAAACACATGGATATGTTCATTCTAGTTGAAATTTTCCTAAAACTACTGTCATACATTGCCAAACCTTTCACTAAAAGTATTAAAAACACTTAGGGAGCTTAAATTCCATATTTGCAAATTTTAAAAAAAAATTACAGGAATTTTTTGCTAGCAAAATAATTTGACTGGCAAATCACATAAGAAACCAGAAGGGAAGTAGCTATTTGCTTTAGAAATTTACCTAGTTCTAAACCAGTTACTAAATCTGATTAGTAGTCAGCCTTCCCTATCTAGAGGCTTGTACTGAAATTCAACCAAGCTCATAGGGAAATATTTGGGAATAAAAAATATCTGTATTGAACATGAATAGACATTTTTTCCTTCTCATTATTCTTTAAATAATATAGAATAACTATTTACATAGCATTTGTGTTGAACTAGGTATTATAGTATAAGCAATTTAAAGAAGGCTTCAACCTACAGGATGATGTGCATAGATTAATAGGCAAATACTACTACATCATCATTACATGTAATAGATTTGGACATGCCAGACTTTGGGACCTGCAGGGGTCCTGGAACCAATCCTCTTATATACCAAGGACTACTGTTAACTGCGCTGTTTAGTCCTCAAACTCAGAAACTGAGATCCTATTTCCTTACAATTCAATACTTTCGCTATTCAGAATGATACTGTAACAGTGCCTAAAAATATCTACACATTATTTTACAGCTGTAGCAAGATGCCTATGAGTTCATAAAAAACTGTCCCTTTCTGAAATCACCCAAGAAAAGCACAATACACACTAGAAAGAGAAGTCAGCTGCTTTAGTTTGAATTTCACCCCACTACCAATTAGCTATGTGATCTTGGGGCAAGTTAATCATACAAAATTAATTTCGAGCTGGGTGTGGAGGTGCACACCTGTAACCCCAGCACTCGGGAGGCTGAGGCAGGAGGATCGCTGTGAGTTCGAGACCAGCCTGAGCTACACAGTGAGTTCCAGGTCAGTCTCAACTAAACAGTGAGACCCCATCTCAAACAAAACAAAATAAAACAAAAAAATTAATTTCGGTGTCTTGATCCCCTCCTCTGTGAAATAAATAATAAATATTGGAATACCAACTACCTCGTAGGGCTGCTGTAAGAATTCAACAAACGTATGTATAAGTGCTATATTTAATAAGTAGGAGGATCAAGAAGAGTTCAAGGCCAGCCTGGGCTTCATAGCAAGACTTCATCAGAAAACAAACAAGAAAGAGCTGCTGAATTTAATGATGCACATCTGTAACCCCTACTATCTAAGAGGCTGAGCAAGGAGGATCCCAAGTTGGAAGCCAGCATGAGCAAGATTTTATCTCAGAATAAAATTTTAAAATAGGCCTGGGAGCCAGGCACGGTGATGGCGCACGCCTGTGATCCCAGCACTCGGGAGGCTGAGACAAGAGGATCATTGTGAGTTCGAGAGCAGCCTGGGCTACATAGTTCTAGGTCAGTCTCAACTACATAGTGAGACCCTGTCTCAAAAAAAAAAAAACACCCCAAAAATAGGCCTGGTATGTAGCTCAGTAGCACAGCACTTGCCTAGCACATGTGAGGCCATAGGTGCGGTCCCCAAAATCACATGAGAGAAAGAGAAAAAAGAAAAAGAAAAATTACATTAAAGATAGCTGTTACTGCTGGGCCTGATGGCACAGACTTGAAATCCTAGCACTCTGGATGCTGATCTCAGAAGATTTCAAGTTCAAGGGCAACCTGAGCAACCTGAAGACTGAGCAAGACCCTTCTTCAAAATAAAAGGGACTGGACATATAGGTCAGTGAGAAGACACAGCGTTCAATTCCCAGTACCACAAAACAAAACAAGTCTGTTACAAACAAGTTGTGCTTAAAAGGTCATTTTATTTTTGTTTTGCTTTGTTGTGTTTTAGACTGGGGCTTGCTATCTAATTCAGGCTGGCCTTGAACTCACTTAAATTGTCCAAGCTAGCCTATGATTCTCCTGCTTCAGCCTCCAGGGTGCTGGGATTACAGGCACAAGCCACCACATCTGGCTTAAAAGGTCACTTTTTTAAAAAAGTTAGTTGCTGGGCTGGGGATTTAGCTCAATTGCCACTGTGCTTGTCTCTAAGTGCAAGATCTAGAGTTTGATCCCTGGTACCCAAAAAAAAGTTAGTTGCTTAGAATGCTAAATCCACACTCGGGAAATACAATAGTAGTTAGTCTTGTTATGATTTGACAGAAAATTACTGAACAGTGTGCCTAAACTTCAGGTTCCCATAGTTTCTGTGGAAAAATTTATAAAAAACTACAAGTTGAGGGTGGGACTTGTTGCTGACTACATTCTCAAATTCTGAAAAAGAGAAAAAATGAGTATCAGTATATGTAACAAAAATGATCCCTTTTTTCCCTAAATATGACCAGGGACTTTTAAAAGGTACTTCCAGGCTTCACTTCAGTGCAATTATTTAATGCAGGAAAATTTGCATTTTTCCACTTCAGTACTGTTTTACACACGTTTCCAATCACAGTTTCAATGTATGTTTCTACTTTCACATATTTTAGGTTTTTAGAATTCTCATCTCCCTAAATTTAAATTCATGTCTATTCAAATCTCCTCGGGTCAGTAGTAGAACAAATATCCTATCAGTGACCACAACACTGGGAATTAAGCTTCTTAAAGAGTTTAAACGATCAGTCCAGGGATTTAACTCAGTGGTTCCGCCGCTTGTGCAAGGACCCACGTTCGATACCTGGTACCAAAAATAAATAAATAAAACAGTTGAAACGACCAAGCTTGAATCACATTTTGTATACCTTTGTACCTTAAACACTTGTTACACTATCCCAACCATATCAAGGGCTATAAATATTTACTGACTCAAAATACTCCTTCACTACTCTGTAGTTCTAGTCTGTTGCTGAAAGAAAACTGCATAGCTTTGCAAAATCCAAAGGACCTAAATATTACAGAAACATCACAGAATACATTACATTTTATTTACTGTCTAGATGTTTTTACTTTGCCTCAACTGCCAGCTATAACGCTCTCTGAAATCAAAAGCGGACACAACGTGTCAAAAGGGTTTTAAATTTAAATTCATCCTTCCCTATTATGTAACATTTGTTTTAAAGTCGGTTGATTGGTGGGGCTACCGGGGATCGAACTCGGGTCCTTACAATTTGGAGGTAGGTGGTGGAACCGCTGAGCTAAATCCCTGGCCCTAAAGTCGGTTAATTTTATTAGCAATTTGAGACAGTTTTATAGTCAACCAAATTCCTGGGAACATAAATGAAAATTTGTGAAAATAAAGCGCAAGCAATCAAGAAGAAAAGCTGCTTTAAATTCCGGAAATAAAAATAATAATAGTTTACATTAATGTAATAAAATGTTTTGTAATCTACAGCTTTCTTTATTGTTGGTATAAGTCTTTCAAAATTTCAAAGCAAACTGATAAACTATTACCAATTGGCTCCAGCGTCAAAGGTTTTTTTGGGGTTGCTAATATATTCTTATTATACACCTGGAACATTGTCACATAGGTGTGACATTCCAAAAACTGCAAGGAAGGTCCAAAAGTTCCTGTGGGCCAGTGCAGAAATAACTTCTGCCTTAGCTGTAAACTACCAACTTTCTGCCCTGAGATCCATTTGCTTCAACTAAGTTTAAATGGCGACGAAATTGAGAGAAAAACCTGCGGCATGGGTGGATAGAAAAAAAAAAAATCTAATGAAAAAATTACCTTAAATGTTAAGTTTCTATTGCCAATAATCTGTAAGAAAACCTTCCAGACTTAGCTAAAGACACGAGGGAACCAAGAATGTGCGCATGGAGGAGGGCGCGCCACGCGGAAAGGATGAATGAATGGAACCCAGCACAGACGAAGCGCAGCAGGTCCGGCCGGCAGACAGACCCACAGCCGCCAGAGCAGGCCTCGCTCCTCCCCTTCCCTCCTCCATGACAGCCCAGTCCCCAGCATGGAGGGGCGAAGACAAAGTGGTCCCCTCTCGCGACCGCCACCACCACCTTGCCCGGACTCCGCACGCTTCTCAGCCCGTCCCGGGGCTCCCTCCCCACCCGCACTTCCTCGC